GCTCGACACGATCGGCTTGTCCGCTTAGGCAACGAACAACGCAGCCTCAACACCATCATCTCCACCGCCAACTCATCTCGTTTCCACCTCAAATTCATCGCCGCCACACTTGGTGCGTCTACAACTAAGTTTCGGGCCCTCCTCGACATTGGAGCCACCGGTAACTTCATCACCGACGCGTGTGTCCGCAAAGCCGGTCTTACCTCTACCGGCTACGACTCCCCGATCAAGATTCGCCTAGGGGACAAAGACACCGCCATCATCGTAGACCGCACAGTTCCCGATACCACCATGACCGTCGGAACCCTCCGCAGTCAGGTCTCGTTCGATGTCATGCACTTGATGTGCGACATCGTCTTTGGAACCCCGTGGCTGGACCGCTACATGCCATACACATTCCACCCCCACTTCCTTCGCCTCACCAAACCCCCCGATACAACCATCGACGTCCCCTATCTTCCATATCCAACCTCCCAAGGCTCCGTCACCCTGCACCAATTCCTCCACATGGCTTGCCTGAACCCCGACTCCGCCTACTATTGTCTTGTCCTTGATCGCGAAAGTCCCAAGGACTTACTCCCGAAGGACAAACCCGATCAAGCCCCCCCCTCCAACCCTGCCATCACCTCAATCCTCGACGAGTTCAAGGACGTCTTTCCTGAGTCCTTACCCACCGGACTACCTCCGGATCGTGGTGTATCCCATACCATCGATTTGGAGCCCGCACATTCTCCACCTTGCGGCCCTCCATACCAACTCCCCGAAGCCGAAGAAATGAAGCAGCAACTTAGCGAACTCCTTGAAAAAGGGTTCATTATGCCAAGTTCATCCCCCTTCAGAACCGGCTGCCTTTTCGTCAAGAAAGGTGGAACTTCGGAACTCCGCATGTGCACAAACTACTGCGCCTTGAACCGGATCACGATAAAAAACATGTACCCCGTACTTCGGATTTCCGAGCTCCTTGATCGTCTCCGTGGAGCCAAGTACTTTACCAAGATCGATCTTCGCAGTGGCTTCCACCAGATCCGTATCCGCGAGGAAGACACCCACAAGACCGCCTTCCGCTCTCGGTTCGGGCACTACGAGTTCCTCGTGATGCCCTTCGGACTCACCAACGCCCCCGCCACCTTCCAATCTACCATGAACCACATCTTCCGCAACCTCCTCGAAGTTTGCGTCGTCGTCTACCTTGATGACATCCTTGTCTTCAGCCCCACCTTTGAGTCCCACCTTCAACACCTCCGCCAAGTCCTCTCGATCCTCCGAGAGCAAAAATTCTACGCCAAGCTCAGCAAATGTACGTTCGCCGCTTTGAGTGTCGAATACCTCGGCCACATTGTCTCCGCTGAAGGCATCCGTATGGACCCCTCGAAGGTCACAACCCTCGTCGAATACCCCCCACCCAAGACCCTCCTCGAACTTCGTTCCTTCCTTGGCCTTGCCAACTATTACCGCCCGTTCATTCCCAACTTTTCCGAGATCTCTTACCCTCTCCATGAACTCACCCGCAAGGACCAGCCCTTCCATTGGAACGATCGCCGCCAACACGCTTTCGACTTACTCAAGCAAACCATCACCACGGCCCCTGTCAAGATCGTCGACCCCACTCGCCATTTCTATGTCACCACTGACGCCTCCGACTTCGCCATTGGAGCCGTATTCTCCCAGCATTTCCCCCGCGACACCGCCGAGACCCCCTCCATCAAACTTGCCCACTCAACCCGAGGCTCCACCTGGTGAATACCCCATCGCCTTCGCAAGCAAGAAGCTCCTTCCTGCGGAGATGAATTACCCCTCCAACGAGAAGGAACTCCTCGTCGTGATTCACGCCCTCACAGTCTGGCGCCCGCACCTCGACGGACAATACTTCACCATCCGCACTGATAACACCATCGTCTCCTCCATCCTCTCCAAGAAAGATACCACTCCACGTGAAGCCCACTGGCTAGACTTCCTTACCCAGTTCACATTCACCATTTGCCATAACCCCGACAAAAGCAACCGCATTGCGGATGCCCTCTCTCGACGACCCGACCACAAGCCCACCGAGAAAGTCTACGACGCCATGACTCATATCCAACTCCTCCCATCATTCCATCACCGATACACCCAAGGCTACCTCTCTTGCCCAAACTTCGCCACCATCTACAACAAGCTCCACGATCTTGACCCAGTCCCCAACTACTCCCTTCACGACAACCTTCTCTACACCGATACCAAAGGCACTCACCGACTTTGCATCCCCGACGCACGTGGTCTCCATACTCAACTCTTGGCCGAGCACCATGACGCCAAGACCACAGGACACCTCGGTTTCCAGAAAACCTTCGACACCATCTCCCGCTACTTCTACTGGCCTTCCCTGCTCGCTGACGTCAAAGCATACATTCGCTCACGCCCCACGTGTCAAGTTGTCAACCCCTCGAACCGGGCCAAACCCGGCAAGCTCCAATCATTGCCCATCCCAGCTCACCGGTGGCAGTCCATCTCCATGGACTTCGTCTGCGGCCTCCCCAAGACTGACCGTGGGCATGATT